CCCTTAGGCACAGCCAAATCGGCGAGGGAATCCCTGGTGCCCATGTTGGTGACACAGGGAGGTGGCAGCACAGAGCTCTAAGACCCTTGCCCTGGGCCACTAGGGCAGGAGCCGTGGCAGGAGACACAGCAGCTCTGGTATTTTTTTAAAGAGTTTTTTGGTATTTATTTGAAAGACAGTCACAGAGAGCGGAGGGAAGAGAGGCACAATCCACCTACTGGCTCACTCCCCAAAAGGCCACAATGGCTGGACGGCCAGGAAGCCAGGAGCTTCTTCTGAGTCTCCTTGTGGTGCAGGGACACAGTGGGGTCACCCTCTGCTGTTTACCCCATGCTGGCAGGGAGCTGGGCCAGAAGCGGAGCATCTGGGATTCGAACCAGTGTTCTCACTGGAAGCCAGCATTACGTAGGCGAAGGCTTAACATACTAACTACATCGCAGCATTGGCCCAGGATCAGCCCACGGCTGTCAGTGGTGATGCACAGAGCCTGCAAAAAGGTCATAAGAAATGTGTCATATGAAAACATTGTGTGGACTGGAAAATCAGGAGGTGGATGCACCAGCGCGAGCTTGTCTGAACTTGTTGCTTCCCACAAGCTTTTCACAGGCCCCTCCTGTGTGGCCCATGGACTTTGTCAAGGGCGAGGTCCCATGAACGGTCCCAAGGCTTGCTGTGTCTCATGGGGGCTCCGTGGGCTGAGAATTTATACTCGACTTAGAATTCTAAGAAATTATTTGTCCCCCGCAGCTTTCCAAATGCCATGCCAGCAGTTTTCTCCATTATACTTGGTAAAACTAAATGAGGAAGAGCTGGGCCAAGGAAGCTTCTTTTTTTAAAAATAAATAAATAGATTCTGTTGGAAAACAAAAGTTGTTTTGATCATGCTAAGTATTTCAGTAAAGAGAGAATAACAAAAGAAAATGGGATGTAAATGTTCCATTGTTCTTACAGATGTAGAGTTCCAAAGAGCTAGGATCCCAAAATGCTGAAATTATAACCAAAAATCATTTCAGCTGTGGGGCTCAACTGAGTGTGAAGAGAAACAACGTGAGCCCTGGCGTTTAGTCCAGTACCGTGGGAGAACGTTTCCAGGCAAACACACTGTCTGATTCTGCAGGTGCGTCATTTGCCGTCTTCCGAGCCACCTGCTGGTATTTCTTCCTAGAAAGGCAGTGTAGGCAATGGTTGGCAAGGGACAACCTTGGGAGCTCACAGCATCAGGGTCAGACTCCGAGGACTTAGCTGTGTGGCCGTGGACAGGACTCCTCAGCGCTCTGAGGGTTCCTCTGCACCTCTCAGCAGTCAACACCCCAGGTCTCTGTGGAGGCCTCACCGTTCCCAGCCAAGCATGAGCGACGGAGCAGGCTCAGGATCTGTGAGCTTTCTCCAAAGGCAAGCAAGAAGCATGACTAGTTTTTCAAGAGGCCCAGGCCCAGTGGCAGTCCACCTGCACCTCCCTGCGCAGGTGGCAGGTGGAAGCAGTCCACCGCCTGGTGCCTGTGCAGTACCATACCCGTGGTAGCAACAGAACCCCGAGCTTCCAGCCACTCTCTGAAACCGGCTGTGGGGTGTCCCGGGGGGACGGGCCTGCCTGCACTGCCCGCCTTTCCCCTCATTCTTTTCTCCGCACATGTTCAGCTCTGCCTGAGGATTGGCCCATCTCACTGGATACAGTAACTGGAAGGGCTCACCCTGATGTTTAATTCTGATTTCCATGGTGTGTGAGGTTTTGTGACAGCCCCAGGACTGGGTCCCGCCTGCCCGGGACTGATGGCTGTATTTTCACATTTTTGTTAGAGAAACAATTTGCCCAAGTGTCTATGCGGTTGGCTTTGTCATTAACACAATAATGACCTGTGCTCCGTGAATCTTCAGCAGTGAATGAGCCCGTCCCACCCCCGGCACCACCTCTGCAACCACAGAGCAAGCCTGTCTCCTCTATCTGCAGTTCATCCATGTGGTTTGTATAGGTTTTGTAGTTTGTGCAGTATAATGTAGTTTGGACACGAAATTGGCTTTACTGCTGCAATGCCCCTGTGTTTGTCTATGCATTTATTCATTAGGCATTGACTGTGTGCCAGGCCCCCTGTGAGGTATTGGGATATAGCTCAGCCCCACATGGCAGGAAGGCAAATGCAGGTTCCTGGCAGGGACCTAGGAGAACGAGTGCTGGGAGGTGCTTGTTGTGTTGGAACTAAACCCGGTGGATTGGCTTCCCGTCTCTGGGCTTTGAGACGGCAGTGAGTCGTCGTAAGGAAATCCATCTCCTTTAAACTGTGTGGCTGAACTGCAGTAAATTTGGAGTGGAATCTTTTACCTACGCATTGATCTTCTAAAAAGCCACAGGATCTTTGGTTTGATACATCATTTCAGAGATGCAAGAACTTGGGATTATGAACTCTGAAGGGTGATCTTTGGCCAGCCGCATCCCAGGACTTAGGCATCAACAGCCCCTGGCACTTGGGTGGCTCGGTTCCAGCTTCACCCCGGCCACACCCAGTGAGCTGCATGCCCACATGTCCGCCTCAGTCTCCGCTTCTGGAGTCACCTTTCTGGGTCAGCATCTCCCAGCCCAGGATCCTTCCCAGGGACTGCTCAGCTGTCATTCCTGTGGCTGGGTGCCCCCAGAGCAGGCGGGCCTGCTTCATGATGTGGATGCTCCAACAAGCCTCCAAGCTGTCCTTGCCTCGGCCTGTCCTCTCCTGCTCCTTTCAGCCACGCAGTTGCCGTGGGCATTGAGCTCCAGTGCCTGCTGTGCTCAGTGGCTCCCTCCCGTGGCACAGGACCATGTGGGTTGCATCAGCCCTGAGGGTGTGCCCCCCGCCCAACGTGTTTGCCTCAGCAGCACACCCAGCACAGCTTGACAGCCTGTGTTGTTTCATATCTCTGAGGCTGCAGCCCATTCACATGCCCTCCTAGGCCCCCATGCCTGGGAATATGTGGTCACCCCTGGGTGGGGTATTCATCTGCTTATCTCCTACCGCTCACTATACAGAGTCATCCTAACTCCTGACGCTGTCCTGGTGACCTGGCCACACTGGGTCTGTCTTTCCCCAGTTGGAGAGCTTACCGAGATGCAGCACGATCAATACCCACTCGGTGAGATAACTTGTAGCTGGTGCTTGCAGCAGCTTAGCAAACGGGGGCAGCAGCATCAGCTCTTGGCACGGCTGTCCAAAGGAGCAGGCCGCCTGGTTAGACCAGCTCACCACACAAGCAGAACGAACGGCCTCCCGAAACCCTCCCCTCCACTCCCATTTGCTAATAGGAGAGTCCATCAAATCGGATTTTCTCTTTGGCGAGATCCACAGTACTGCTGCTGTCACTTTTCCAACACGGCCATCGTCCGTCCTCCCTGCCTAGGGTCCTCCCCCGGAACAATGCTTTCTTAGCTCTGTCTGTGACACCTTGGCAAGCCCTGCCTCTGGAGAAGGACATGGATAAGGGCTGGGGAGAGTTCTAGGCCAGAAGGGACAATGCCTGTGTGTCTTCCCCAAGTTCATTCACTTATGACATATCCCACTCTGCTTAGCATTGCTTCTTTAGCAAATGCCCAGTCAGTGCCACTTGCGAGGCCTGGTGCAACATGAGAGCCCCAGGCACCACCATGGAAGCAGGCCCTGGCAGGTCACTGGCCTTCAGGCAGCTCGCTAAAGTTGAAACACAAGTCATGTCTGACTCGTTGGGACAGAAGCTGTCAGGTTTCCCTGAGACACAGGGGCTGGCATGGGGCCTGCCAGGTCTCTGCTCAGCAAACGGTGCCCCATGTGGGAGGGAGGAGGCAGTGGCAGGCTTTTGGGGGTGGGGCAGGCCACCACCCTGCTGCAGCCTCCACCCTGAAGGGTTAACAGACAGACACGGAGGGGGACGCTCCAGGGGAATGTGGTAATCTCATTGAAGGCCAGAGTAGAGACCTGTCACACGTGGCATAGCCAACCCAGAGGACATGAGCGGGACAAGATATGAAATGTTCTGGAACCAGCCAGCGGCCAGCAGTGGCAGGAATACGGTGAGGGGAAATCAATCAATGAATCTTTTTAAAAAGACCTGAGTGACCAATAATAGCACGAGACTTGCACTTAGCAATGAGCAGTAAATGACATCGACAAAGACTGGCATCGTGTAAGCTCTTCTTTCCCTGAGTGCCACCTTCCACCAGGCCTCCAAGGTTATCCCAGGCCCTGCCTCAGCCGTGCAGCAGCCCCGAGTCTCATGTCAGGCGTTGTGCCTTCCGCCTCCCATCTCCTCGTCTCTCTCTGCTGCCTGTCCTCAGCACCCCACCCCAGCCAGCTCTTAGTACACAGCAGGTGCCCAGGAAATCCTTCCTGTGATGGGGCTGAACCGGGTGAGGTGGCGCATGTCCTCCGGAGCACACAGAATGGTTTAAAGCCCAGAGAAGCACCGCTTTGCCATCTCCCGTGAAGCTCCAGTGGGTTGCACAGTTTGGAGAAGAGACGAGGCATGCTCCTCTCCCTGTTGTCTTCAAAATGCAGTATTTCAATGCATCTGATGTCTGTCGTCACTTCCAGTGTCTGTCCCAGTTTGTGACACTTCACTATTGTCATCTCTTTCGTGACAATGATGTAATGTCAACATTAAGCACGTGGCGGGGGCAGATCCAACAGGGGCAGGTCAGGGGAACCCGGAAGACTTTCCCAGCAAGTGGGACAGAGGGTGAGGGTCTGGCCAGTGCAGCCTTTAAAATCTGCCTTCGCTGTTCATGGGTGAGTGTGTGTTTACACGCACCTGTGCAGCACATACCGCTGTGCTTGTCAGATGTGCACACCAGGCAGAGGCGCACACAGCATATGCTCCAGGGGCTGCGGCTCAAAACACACATAGGCGATTGTCGCCTGCCTGAGTCTCCACCTGAACAGGTTGAAGGCGCTGTGGGCGCACTGGGAGAGGCCCGAGCCTGGCTGCCCGTGGCCTGGTGCTCATAGGTGCCACACGGTCCGGCGCTCGGCTCTTCTGCTCACACTGCTCTTGTCTCTCCACAGAGGCCTCATCGCCAGCAGCTTCACGGAAACCCACTACCTGCAAGACGGCACCGATGTCTCTCTCGCTCGAAATCACACGGTAACGCTTCACTGGAACTACCCCTCGAGTCTGCGTGTGCACGCGTGGCAGTGTCACTCTGAGCAAAGTCACCTCAACTAGAGCCTTCACTCAGGCTCCAAGGAGTGCTTGGGTGTTGTGTTGTCTGTCGCTGCAGCCTGGCTGACCCTGGGCCCTGTCTCTGGGGACTCTAGGCTGCTCATTTGATGGCTTGAAAAGCAGACACCCCTGCCTGGGCGGAGTCGCTGTATCACATGCCCAGGTTCTTGTGGCAATGGGGAGGAATCTGCTGTGCTTACCCCAAGATAAGCATGATGTAACATACACATAGATGGGGTTCTGCATCCTGGGTGCGGCTGGAATGCTTTGATCCCCTGTGGTCAGCTTGTCGGGGTGAGGACTTTCAGATGTGACTTGGTAAACATGCTTGTTGTGTATGTTCCTTCGAGTCAGGCTCACAGTGACAGGCCCACGGGTGACTGTGTGACTCCCGAGAGAACGGGACCGGGTGGTGCCCTTCTGAAGATGAGGACAGCAGCTCCCCGGGGGGGCGTTGTGTTGCAGGCAGGCTCTCACCAGTCTGTCATCTTGTGTGCTTGTTGGCTGTGGGGATTTCCCCCTAAGGTCAGGCCACCCTGTCTCATCTTCCCATGTGTGGCACTGTCACACAGGTGACACACTGGGACATGGGCTGCTGCAGCCCTCCAAGCTGGGGGAAAACACATGGTCAGGCCGGGCAGACTCCAGGCAGGAGTGCGTGTGGGAGAGTGAGGAGAGATCCAGGGCTACAGTGCCAGGTGCTGCCTTGCGGCCGTCCAGGACCCAGAGCGGGCACCTCAGGCTGGGGACACAGGAGGGCCGTCCAGGACCCAGAGCAAGCACCTCAGGCTGGGGACACAGGAGGGCCGTCCAGGACCCAGAGCGGGCACCTCAGGCTGGGGACTCAGGAGGGCCGTCCAGGACCCAGAGCAAGCACCTCGGGCCGGGGACACGGGAGGGCCGTCCAGGACCCAGAGCGGGCACCTCAGGCTGGGGACACAGGAGGGCCGTCCAGGACCCAGAGCGGGCACCTCAGGCTGGGGACACAGGAGGGCTATCCAGGACCAAGAGCGGGCACCTTGGGCCGGGGACACAGGAGGGCCGTCCAGGACCCAGAGCGGGCACCTCAGGCTGGGGACTCGGGAGGGCCGTCCAGGACCCAGAGCGGGCACCTCAGGCTGGGGACAAGAAGGGCCGTCCAGGACCCAGAGCGGGCACCTCAGGCTGGGGACAAGAAGGGCCGTCCAGGACCAAGAGCAAGCACCTTGGGCCGGGGACACGGGAGGGCCGTCCAGGACCAAGAGCGGGCACCTCAGGCTGGGGACACAGGAGGGCCGTCCAGGACCCAGAGCGGGCACCTCAGGCTGGGGACTCAGGAGGGCCGTCCAGGACCCAGAGCAAGCACCTCGGGCCGGGGACACGGGAGGGCCGTCCAGGACCCAGAGCGGGCACCTCAGGCTGGGGACACAGGAGGGCCGTCCAGGACCCAGAGCAAGCACCTCAGGCTGGGGACACAGGAGGGCCGTCCAGGACCCAGAGCGGGCACCTCAGGCTGGGGACTCAGGAGGGCCGTCCAGGACCCAGAGCAAGCACCTCGGGCCGGGGACACGGGAGGGCCGTCCAGGACCCAGAGCGGGCACCTCAGGCTGGGGACAAGAAGGGCCGTCCAGGACCCAGAGCGGGCACCTCAGGCTGGGGACACAGGAGGGCTATCCAGGACCAAGAGCGGGCACCTTGGGCCGGGGACACAGGAGGGCCGTCCAGGACCCAGAGTGGGCACCTCAGGCTGGGGACTCGGGAGGGCCGTCCAGGACCCAGAGCGGGCACCTCAGGCTGGGGACAAGAAGGGCCGTCCAGGACCCAGAGCGGGCACCTCAGGCTGGGGACAAGAAGGGCCGTCCAGGACCAAGAGCAAGCACCTTGGGCCGGGGACACGGGAGGGCCGTCCAGGACCAAGAGCGGGCACCTCAGGCTGGGGACACAGGAGGGCCGTCCAGGACCCAGAGCAAGCACCTCAGGCTGGGGACACAGGAGGGCCATCCAGGACCCAGAGCGGGCACCTCAGGCTGGGGACTCAGGAAGGCCATCCAGGACCCAGAGCGGGCACCTCAGGCTGGGGACACAGGAGGGCCGTCCAGGACCAAGAGCAAGCACCTTGGGCCGGGGACACGGGAGGGCCGTCCAGGACCCAGAGCGGGCACCTCGGGCCACGGCCAGGGACACCAGAGACAATCCAGGACCCAGAGCTGGCACCTCAGGCTGGGGACACGGGAAGTGGACACCAGCCATCAGGAATCTCACAGAAGTGCATACCGTCTCTCCCCCCCCACAAACACTGGCTGTTTCCTCTGTGAGAAGGAGACAAGAAGAGGCCTAGAGATGGAGGGGGGTGTTTGCCCAGTGCCTGGATTGAAGCAAGAAGACGGGAAAGGCTCGGACAGCTGAGACTCCGGCTACCTCCTGTGTGCTTGCTGGGAGCAGCCCGGCTCTTGTCCCTGTTGCCAAGACTGGGGCAGGGAGCAGGATGACGGCCCCACTCCCCTGTTAATGACCCCTCCCTGTGGCCAAGGCCTCAGGGTGAAGCCAAGATGGTCATTGTATAGGGGATCTCTCTGCCACTCAGATGACACGGAATGCACATTCCAAATGAAAAAGAAGAAGAAAGAGAAATATTAAAGATGAGCACCAGGATCAAAGGCCCAAGCCTCCCCAAGCCGCCTAAGCCAGGGCTGCCTGGCAGGAGTCGGGAGCTGGCGTCTCCAGGAAAACGAGATGGCACAGAGCTCAGGGAGAGCTCCGAGATGGGTGGAGGCCAAGAGAAGACCTGTGATGGAAACACAGCAGAAAGTAGGAAAGAAGCTGTGTGTGAACAGAGCGCAAGGAGAACGTCTCTGGATCGTAAAGAAAAATAGACGCACATCTTGAAGAAAAGTCCCTGGCAGGCGGGATGAGAACCAGCTCCTGTCCTGGTGGCTTGTCGGGAACCGCGGCGGCCGAGGACAGAGTGCTACGAGCCTCGGGATTGGGAGAAGCCTGTGTGGACACATGCCCATTGAAGAGGCGTTGTCATTTGCCATTGGCCTGAAAACTTCAGAAAGCTGAGGGGGAAAAGGAATGATCATCTGCCCAAGTAGTGGACTCAAAATTGTTTTATAAAAACGAGAATGAAATAGACGCTTTTGCAAGCAGACGGGAGGAGTTACCCCTCAGTGTTTTGCAAAGAACAATTAACCAAAAATATCTCATTCTGAAAGCTGCTGCAGGTGGGAGGGGGCCAGGAGCCGGAGGCAGGAAGGAACCAGCCCCAGGATCCGTTTGAAACACTAGCTGGGTTGAAGTGCCTGTATCAGCCCAGCCAGTAATAGCCCTGCTGCTTAGCTGTATGTATCCTACAGTTTTAATTACAGTCATGCAAATGATGGGAACATGGAATGTATAATTCCAAAGAAGGCAGGCTTAGTGGAAATAGCAGATCTACTCGGTAGATAAGGAGGCTAATCAGATAAGGTAAGGAATTAGGAAATACAAAACAGATAACACCAGTATACTAATCCCATTATTTATAAATAGATAGAGTCTGCTAAAACAGATTATCTAGTTAGGATTTAAAATAAAATTCTCACTAAATCTCTTTACAAGGTTCCACTGCAAATTAAAAAAAAAAAAAAAGGATATGAAAAGAAAAGCAAGTGGTGGTAAAAGCTATTGGAGAACTGAATCCCAGGGAAAGCTGGAGCCCCGGGAAGGGGGGGCAGCGTCAGAGGCTGATAACGCAGCATCCCGCTGGACGGGACAGGCTGTGAGACTCTGTACCCACAAAATGGCCTCAAACTATGCAAGGCAGTAATTGAAAAACAAATCGAGGCACAATTTTTAAATACAATTACGGATTCACCTAGAACTAAATTTTAATCCAACTACTAATTAAAGGATTTCCTAAAATCTAAAACAAACAAACAAAACATTACAGTTTAGGGGTCACAGGCTGACACTTCTTTTTCTTTTTAGTAAGTTGACCGAAAAAGCCTCTAGTTCTGACATTCCACTTAAACATGCGAGATTTCCTCAAGAGAAAATTCTCTGGGTGTAAAGTTTAATAACTTCATTCATAAATCAAGAGGGAGAATGCCCCCGCATATCTGCAACCAAGGTGGGAGATTTAATGTGCACCCTGCTCAGAAATGAAGGTTTATTTAAGGTAAAAATATATTAAAATGAAGCCTGTAGAAAATCAAGAGGGATGACTGAAACAAAAGCTGTCCCTCTGAACAGCTGGATAAAATGGACGAGGCGTTTGCCAGATTAACCAAGGAGCAAAAAGAAACGGGAGAGATACACGGCGTGGGAATGCAAGCACAGATGCAAATATTGTTTCACAGGTATTTTTTTTACAATACAAGAATGACATAAGTAATATCTCCTTATAAAATGTACATTTCTACTACTGGCCCATGGTCAAAGGACAAAATGTGAATATAACTATATAAAGAAATTAAATTGATAATAGCATTTGTCAAACTTTACCCGCAAAAATCACATTAGGCCCGTCTGACTGTCAAGGAACGAACAACTCTGAGGATGAAGACAGCAGCTGGAAGAGCAAAAACACGCACGACATGAATCCTGCGGCTGGTGGCCACTGTGAAGCAGATTATAAACATTCTAAAGGAAGCATGGAGAAGCCCTTTCTAGCGCCAGCATCGTTAAACCAGCCGTGACCACACCGTGCCACTCTGAGCGATGCAAGGGGGTTCATTCTGAGCGCATCCACGCTGTGACCCAGTACCGCACGGTCTTGGGTGACCCACATTCCTTCTGTGGTAGTCCATCTCCTGTTGAGTCACAGCCTTGGGGCAGGGGGAGGGGATGGTCCATGTGCCCCCACTTAGCACCCTGCCTCAGGAGGCTCTCCCAACGCTGAATTCCCTGGACACGATGCTGTCTTAGGTGATGCCACGTGGGGTTGATTCATTCACTCAGCT